TGCTCCTTGAGAGGGAAGGGGCCTTTGGAAGGTGGATGCTTCGAAGCTGCAACAATTGTGGCCGCCAGGGGGCAGTGTTTTATCACATCCTGCGTGGTCGCCGAGTGTTATTTTTCCCAGTGCTGAAGAAAGTAAATCTTTTAGGGGAATAGGGGGGTGTTTACAATAAGAGTCTAAGCGTGGAAAACAGAAAGATATATCGTCTGGACTTGAAATGATCTCTCAAAGTCAGTGATTTCATCGTTCTGCCTGTCTCTGCTTTCACTCCAGCAGCTATATAATTGGCATAGCTGTAAAGCTGGAGAATTATGTCCTTGGGTCCAACCCCCTTTCCTTCAGCTCTTCTCCCGTGGTCCAGAGTTGTTCATAACCCTAGGAACTCTCTGGGGGCTTTGGGCGGTCTCAGAAAGAATGGTCTAGAATCTTGTGAGATATGCCCCAGCCTGTGGGGCCTCAAGCCAGTCCCCCTGCCTCTCCTCTGTCCTCCGCCAGGCTGCAAAGTCAGGCCCAATCACCCGTTCTGCATCTGCCTTCTCAGACACAGCCATCACCTGCTTTGCGGCAGCCCAGGGCTGCTGTACTCGCCATTGACCATTCCGCAGGGATATTAAGCACTTTTGGCTTGGCTTGGGGGATGGTTAATCAACAACCTTGTCAGAGTGATGGATTCTTCTAGGATTATTGCTTAATTAGCTTGTTTGAAGGGAAAAATAAAGCAGGACATCAGTCGTCTGGGGACCTGGGAGAAGGGGGAGAAGGCAGCGGGGAGCGGGGAGGAAGGACTCCTGGAGATCCACCTGACAGCAGCGGAGTGTGGCTGGGGCAGTGCAGGTGGGAGGCGTTAAGCTGGGAGTCATGGGGCATCTCAGGGCCACCCCGGCTGCATCACTCAGTGGAGTCACAAAAGCAGTGACATCTGAAATGTCACCCAAGGACTACAGGCATCACTGGGGGAGCTTTAAATAAAAGCGGATTCCCGGGCCTAGCCCTAGACTTTCTGGATCAGAATCTTGGAAGCTTTTTGTAATGTTATCCCCAGTGATTTTGATGAGCAATGACATTTGAGAGTTATAGGCCCAATATCGGTGTTGGGCAAGTCAACATTTTTGCTGGTAGTGGGTCTCCGATGACAGGGAGCCATCACCCACACCCCCATCCACACCCATGGTCCGTCTTCTTCTTTCCGTGATCTTCTGATCTGTCTTGTCCTCTGCCCCTCCCATCTTACTCGTCTGTCTCTATTGTTCCCTTCCCAGGCCTCGTTTGTCTGCCCCACTGGAATCTTCCCTCTTCTCCTGGCTCTCCATAGCATCTGCTTGTTTTTCCTTCTCTCGCCCTGTTTCTCTCTTTTCTGCTGGCACCTGACACTCCTTACATCCCCTTCTATATCCTCTCCTGTCTGGAAGGGACTGGAAGCCTGAGAACAGCCTTGCCAGGAGAGTTCCCACCAATTGTAATGGGGTGGCAAATTCTTCCCTGGGCCTCAAGGATCTCATCTATAATATAGCAAGGAGAGCCTGGCCTCCCTGCTTCCTTCATGGAGTGGCTGCCGCTGTAGAGCTTCTGAGAGTCTGGGGGCCAGGGGGCAGGTGAGGCCTTGTCATTTGTTCCTTGAGGTCCCTCACCCCTCCCCACCCTCTGCCTGGCACCGGCTGTGTTCCTTGCCCTCTGCCTCACTCCCAGGGACAACATAGCCTGTTCTAGGAACCACAGGTGAAGGCTGGCAGAGCCAGAGTGTCTCCAGTCCTGCTTTGGGGGATTTTCTTGACCTTGGCTGAAGGGTGAGGGGAACCCTGGGAAGGTACAGCCTGGGATTAAGATGCCTAGTCTGTCCTGTGCCAGGGCTAAGGATCAAGGCCCTTCCCTCCTATGGGGACATGAGGACAAAGTCTCCCCCCACCCCCACCTTCCAAGCAGAGAAGCCAGGCATGCCCACAAGGCCCATGCAGAGCCTCCCTAGGCCCTCAGCCTCCAGCGCCTGTGTGGCTGTGAGAGTCAGCTTTTCAACTAATCAGCTGAGTAAATTCTGCCATATATCCTGTTAGTTTAAAGAGAAAATGAGACTGGTTCTTGAGCAAAGCCCTGTGAGGGAGAAAACTACTATTTTGTGGACACCCATCCAGTAGGGCAGAGGCAGCATGGCCACGCTGGGCTGCTCACCGCAACCCTAGATCTGCAAAATTCCTTCCTTCTTGTCTCCCAGGGCCTCAGAAGACCCAGAAGTCTGGAGCGACATGTAGTTGGGGCAGCAAAGTGTGCAGGTGTGTTGGTTTTCCACCTGGACATTCAGGTGAAGTCCTGCAGGAGGTGGGCTCATTCGTTCTTCTGGTCTCCAGCTCCCCATCCCCCCCCCCCTTTTTTAAAGCAAAGTCTGTGTTGATCTGTTGGTACCAGTGTTTCACATGCAGAAAATCTTATGTAAGAGAGCAGTCTGACAGCCCAGCAGTCTGAGTCTTTAGGCATTAGCTCTGTCTACCTCCTAAGTCCATGCTGATAACTGTGGCCAACTATCCTGACTAAGCATAGGGCCTGGAGGCGAAATGACCTGGTCCGAGGTTAGCTGTGTGGCTGTCTCTGCTGTACTACTGACATGATCATGAGCACTTTGCAACAGCCCCTGTAGGGTACAGCTTAGGTGGCTGTGCTTGTTCCTCATTCCAGGATGCATCCACTTCCAAATGCTGACTTTGTTCCTGAACATGGACGTTTGCAATGGCGTATCCCTGCCTCGTTCCATCTGCCTTGGATGGTGTCTGTTCAGAAAGGTTACAACTCAGGAAGATCTCCACCCTCCTGTCCTCTTGAGTTCTATTTGTAAGGACTCTCCCACTGGGGCATGCTTCCAGGAGTGCTTTCTCAAACTACAAATTCTCCTGAGTGGGGTATGGCCTTGTCACTCTCTGGAAACTCTTCTATGTTGTAATGGGCCATGATGTTTGGGAGACACCTTCATGGATGAAGAGGGAGGTAGGTACCTGCCTTGGTGGCTGGATTTCTCTTTCCCCATTTTTTTTTAAATCCATAATTATGATTCTACTTCTCACAGAGTCCAAGACCTTTGTAGAAACTGTGTTTTGTTTTGCCATTTGGCTGTGAAACAATCGGGATTCAGACAGTGGAAGTATGGTCATTCTGCGACATCCAGCAGACTTCCCCCTTATCACCCTCTGGACCCATGGGTGGGCAGACTGACTCACTCTGGCTTTTCCTGGAAATGTATTGGACTGGAGGGAGGGGGCTGAGATGCCTCTTCCTCCCTTCTTTCCCACAGTGGAATGTCTCCTGCTTCATCTTCCAGAGCGTCCCAGGCTGGAGTCCTGAAGTATCCAGAGGACCTGCTCTGTGACCTTGGGCTTACTAGAACCTGACCCAGCCGAGGGCCTGGCCCAGGCTCCTCGAAGGCAGCTTTGACTACGTTTCAGGGAAGGGCAGGTTTCAATGTGTCACCACCACAGAGGCAGCACCACCTCTTCCAATGCGAGCCAGGTTCTTGAGGGACTAATAGGAGCTTGTCCTAGAGAAAGACACAGATGCTCAAATGCAGAAGGCTAGGGGAGAGTAAAGAAGCTTTATCTTCCTTTGAGTGACCACAGATGCCTGGGCCTGTTCCCACAGATACTGTTTGGGACCACCCGACAACAGCGGAGAACCTGTACCACCTGCTGGTGAGGCTGGACCAGTTCCATTACACCCATGGCTCCCCAGTGGATGGGAATGTCTACACCTCATTCTCCGAAATTCCTCGGAGGCCCCCTACCCACTTACTCTGCCCTTAGTCCAAACTGCAGCCCACTGGGCACCTGAGTGCCTGTGGCAGAGTGGAGGGAAAGGTGGGGAGATACTCTTCTGACTCCCTGGATGGGTTGGAAGGGCTGAGACCAGAAGCAGCTAGAATAAAAACAGCTCTGTCCTCTGTTCCAGCAGGATGCTGGTCTGATGGCTGTGGATTCTGGTACAAGAGTGACTTTTCTCAAGTGCCCATCTCCTGGATGAAAGAGTTCTTGCATGGACATTTTTTTTCCTACAGCTATAATCAGCTAACTTTCCTGGCCGTGTGGTAAAGAAGAAGCCTTGATTCTTCTTTTCTATCTCCTTCCTTTTCTCTTGAGTCTTAAATTCTTGTCTCTTAGTCTAGTTACTAGTTTGCTTATTTATTTTTTCATACAAGTCTAGCCTAATGTACACAGTTTAAAAATCCAAATAGTATAACAAGGTGTGAAGGAAAAACAGCAGTCCCCTGTCCCATTTGTGTCCTAAATTCCTCTCTGCAGACTCTTTCTTCTGATGCCTACCTCCATATTTCTAAGTGATATGCCTGCACAGTTATCCCTGGAATTGTCAATGTTAAATGCCACTGACTGCTTACGCTGGAAGATTGGGCTGGCACGCTTCTAACCTATTCCATACCTGCTTTTCTCCATTCGATTCCCAATATATTTATGTCACTTTTTGTTAAATCAATGTTCAATTTTTATTTTAATTATGGATGTACTGTTCACTGCTGACTGAAAAAAACTCTAGAATCACTTTTCCATTTTTTTCCTATAATTCTTTGTTCTTCCAGGAGTTAATAATTACCTCATTAAAAAAAAATCTGCTTAATCTATGTCATTATCCTAACAATTCTTCCAAAACTTTCCAGCAAAATTTAAAAATCCTTCTGAGCACAATTTTACCCATGATTAAGTAATCAGATAAACTGCTGATTCCATATTTCCCAAAGACCACTCTTTTGGCTCTTTGCTGGTCACTTCCTCTCCCTCTCTGTGGGACTTCCCCAGTCAGTGAAGGGTCGTGTTCTGATTCATCTGTTTCCTGGATACCAACTCTTCCTCCTTCTTGCCTTATGTCATTGGAGTACCCAAGTCATTTTTTCCAGCTGGATACAGTTCTCTTTAAGAGCCAGGTGTGGAGGCACCTGGGTGGCTTGGTTGGTTAAGCATCCAATTCTTGATTTTGACTCAGATCATGATCTCACAGTTCGTGAGCTCAAGCCCTACATTGGGCTTTGTGCTGACAGCGTGGAGCCTGCTTGGGATTCTCACTCTCTCTCTCTCTCTCTCTCTCTGCCCACTCATGGTCTCTCTTTCAAAATAAATAAACAGACTAAAAAAAAGGCCAGATCTGGAAGGCTGGATACCCCAGGTTCTATAGTCATCTCCAGGTGTATGTTGGCCAAAGCAGGTAAGGAGTTTCACCTTGCCACAGGCAAATCCAGACTTCCACGTCTCAAAAAGAATGTCTTTGGTCTGCAGGATACAGGAGATGGATTTACTAAAATAGGAGAAAAATGTTGTTGGTAAATCAGCAGGATCGGAGCCATTGCCACTCACATTTCACTTTCATGCAGAGTGAGAGAAACTGGCCCCTTGCACAGGACACTTTACTTCCATGTAGTGGTAAATTGTTACAAATAATAATCTCCTTAGATTAAAGCATTTCGCTACCATATTGAGGGTAAATAAACATGAATGTGGATGACGTTAGCTAGACAAACTGTCAGCAGAGTGTGACTACATTAAAACTCTAGACTTGAAATCAATTACTATCAACGTAGCCTTAATTCTCCAAGCACCATATACCAATGCATTGAGTTTTCGTATTTTTTTAAGTATGAATTTGATATTTTAAAACAATGTTAACACAAACATTGTCTGCAAGATGATAATGGGGGTACGTGCTTTGTTCAAAAGAAAAAGAAATAGATATGACATGAGGGGAGGAAGAGGAGTTGTCTGATTGCACATTTCTATATCCTAATTTACTCAGAGCACAGCAGATGGGTTGAAGATGAGAGAGAGAGAGGGGGAGAGTAACAGAAATGTCCCAATGGGAGTACACGCCAGCTTGCCTGGTGGGTCCAAAGAGACTGATGAGGGGGCTTTAGTAACCCTAATCTCTGGGGAGAAGCTCACTTAGCTCCTCTGACAAGGCCTTCACTTGTTCCAGTGATAGCTTCATTGCCCAGAGGGCCAAATGAACAAGGAGAGGGAATTTTCCTTGTGTTGGATGTTGGCCAACAGTTAGAGTCTCTTTGCTAACCTGGGAGTGATGGAAATCCTGGAGGAAAGTAACTTTGACCTCATGGGAACAAACGAAGGGAATGTTGGGCAGAGTCGAAGTGTGCCCTGGACTCAGGAAAGCATATTTCAAATGGGTGAGAGGCTCAACAGGTCAGACAATAGCCTTTTATAAAAATATATATATATAGGTCATGATGTACTAGAGATTATAACAAGATAATGTTAATTATCTACTTTCTAGTAGTCCTGATGAGCAAGAAACTAGACAGATAGCTGGGAGTAGGAAGAACTGGGTTGAAGACAACTTTTACAAAAGTTGGGACAAGAACAAATAAAGGAAGACACGAACCTGAAAGGGCATTTCTTTAAGTCATTTGGGAAGTTGTTATTGAGTAGTTTCTGTATGCCAGACTTTTGCTATGTGCTAAGGAGATAGCAGAAGAAAGACATATCTAAGCTGATAGTCCAGCAGGGAATACAGATATCAACCAGGTAATTAAAAGTGTGTCGAATAAGCAAACTACAAATAGAGGGGAACTTCCTCAGCTTGACAAATATTTAACATTATTCTTATTGACAAAAGACTAGGTATTTTCTCCCTAAATCAGGAACACCAAGCAGACAAGAGTGTCTGCTTTCTCCATCTTTAGTCAGGGTTGTACTAGAAATTCTAGCCAAGACAATTAGATAAGAAAAATAAAAATGGCATCCAGATTGGGATGGAAGAAATAAAACAACTTGCAGGATTGCAGATGACATGATTTTGTATATATAAAATCCTAAGGAATCCCTTAAAAGCAATTAGAATAAATGAGTTAAGCATGGTGGCAGAATATAAGATCAATATACAAAAATCAATTTTATTTCTATACACTAGCAATGAAAAATCTGAAAATTTAATAATTTATAATAGCATCAAAAATACAATACTTAGGGGCGCCGGGGTGGCTCAGTCAGTTAAGCGTCCGACTTCGGCTCAGGTCATGATCTCGCGGTCCGTGAGTTCGAGCCCCGCGTCGGGCTCTGTGCTGACCGCTCAGAGCCCGGAGGCTGTTTCCGATTCTGTGTCTCCCTCTCTCTCTGACCCTTCCCCATTCATGCTCTGTCTCTCTCTGTCTCAAAAATAAACGTTAAAAAAAAAATACAATACTTAGGGGGCACTTGGGTGGCTAAGTCAGTTAAGTGTACAATGTCAGCTCAGGTCATGACCTTGCCATTCATTAGCTCGAGCCCTATGTCAGGCTCTGTGCTGACAGCTCAGAACCTGGAGCCCACTTTGGATTCTGTGTCTCCCTCTCTCTCTCTGCCCCTCCTCCACTTGCACTCTGTCTCTGTCTCTCTCAAAAATGAATAAACATTAAAAAAAAATACAATACTTAGGAATAAATTTAACAAAAGAAGTACAGGACTTTTACAGTGAAAACAATAAAACATTGCTGAAAGAAATTAAAGATCTTAAAAAATGTTCATGGATCATGTTCCTGTTCATGGATCAAAAAGCTTTATATTGTGAAGTTTGCAATACTCCCCAAACTGATCTATAGATTTATTCAATTGCTATCAAAATCCCAGCTGCTTTTATTTTTTCTGACGAATTTGTCAGGCTGATGCTAAAATTCATATGTAAACACAAGGACCCCAGAATTACCGAAGCGATGTTGAAAAAGAAAACAAAGTTAGAAGATGTAAGTTTTCTGATTTCAAAAGTTACTATAAAACTATAGTAATAACACAGTGTGGTACTGGCATAAGGACATATAGATCACTGGGACAGAATTGAAAGTTCAGAAATAGATCCTTACATTATGATAAAATGACTTTTGAAAAGAGTGCCAAGATAATACAATGGGGCAAAGAATAGTCTCTTCAACAAGTGGTCCTGGGGCAATTGGATATACACTTGCAAAACAATGAGCTTGGACTCCTACATCACCAAAATTATCTCAGAATGGATCGAAGACCTAAATGTAAAAGCTAAACTATACAACTTGTAGGAGAAAAATATAGGAGTAAATATTCATAATCTTAGATGAGGCAATGATTTCTTGTATACAACACCAAAAGTTTAAGTGACACACACAAAAGGTAGGTAAGCTGGGCTTCACTGAAATTAAAAACTTGTGTTCTATAAATGATATAGCCAAGAAACTTAATAGACAACCTGTAGAATGGAAAGAAATGTTTGCAAATCACATATGTGATAAGGGACTTGTAGCTAAGATTATAAATTCTTACAAGGGGGCAACAAAAAGTTAAATAAACCAATTTAAAAACGAACAAAGGATCTAAACAGACATTTCTCCAAAGAGAGTATACAAATGGGCAGTGAGCACTGAAAAGATTCTCATCACGAGCAGTCAAGGAACTGCAAACCAAAACCACAATGAGGTTGTCACTTCACCCTCTCTAGGATGGCTCTAATAAATATGACAGACAATAGTAACAGTGTTGACAAGGAGGTGGAGAAGTCGGATCTCTCATTCCCTGCTGGTGGGAATGTAAATGGTGCAGTGGCTTTGGAAAACAGTCCCTGAAAATGCAACATATAGAGTGACCATGTGACCCAGCAATTCCACTCCTAGGTACGCACACAAGCGAAATGAAAACATACATCCGTGCAAAGACCTGCATACAAACATTCATAGCAGAATTATCCACAACAGCCAGGAAGTAGAAACAACCTAAATGTCCATCAACAAATGAATGGATGAATAAAATATGGTGTATTTACAAAATGAAATCTTATTTGGCACCAAAAAGGAATGAAGGCTTGATACATACTGTCACATGAATGAAAGAAATCATTACATGACCATGGTTGCATGACTCCAATTATGTGAACTGTCCAGAATAGGCAAACCTATAGATTCAGAAAGCAGATTAGTGGTTTCCCAGGACTGGAGGAGTGGGGCAAAAATAGCAAGTGACTGCTAATGGGCATGAGGTTTCCTTTTGGGGTGACAAGAATATGTTCTAAAATTATATTGTGGTGATGGTTGCATAGCTCTGTGACTATACTGAAAATCACTGGACTCTGTATCTTAAATAGATAAACTATATGGTGTGTAAGTTATATTTCAGTAAGGCCCTAAAAAAAGTAAGGAGTGGGCAACAACAACAATAAAAGGTTTGTTACAATTAAGGAAGTGTGATAGTGAGTAATATGACAATCCAATGGGGTTAAGACACAAAAGGATCAGGAGTTATGTAATCCCAGGGCCGAGTAGACAGTAGGGGCAAAGGGTGTGAGGTTGACAAAAAAAGTGAAATATCGGAGGAGATAAAGGTAATGCTGGTCTGATGGGAGGAGAATGAAGGAAGGAGGAGTGACACAAGGTATGGTTAGATAGGTGGGCAGGGGTCAGATGATGCAGGCCATGTTCATGACTGTAGACTTTTCCTAAACAGCAATAGCAATCGGAAGACATTGAAGTGTTTCAACCTGGAGAGTGCAATGATCGGATGCACGTTTTATTTTTATTTAGTACTATTATACTTTTAGTTTTAAAAAGAGAAGGAGAACCAGCAGAAGAACCAGAGAGAGAGAGAGAGAGAGAGAGAGAGAAAACCCTAAGCAGGGTCCGTGCGCAGCATGAAGCCCAGTGTGGGACTCAATCCCACAACCCTGGGATCATGACCTGAGCCAAAATCAAGAGTCAGACTTAACTGACTGAGCCACCCAAATGCCCATGGATGTGCATTTTAAAAAGTGGGCCTAGACTGCAGGAAATTGACTTGAGGGGAGTAGGTGGGTATAGGAAAATCAGAGGGAGCCAAGGCAAAAGTCAGGGCGAGAGATGATGTCTGAAAAATCCAAATGGAATAGTTTGAGGGGAAAGTGGGAGGTGAGGATGTGGAGACATCTTGTATGAAGTTTGGTTGTAAAGGGAGGAGAGAAATGGAGTTGTAGCTGGAAGGTAATATGAGATGGAGAAAGTTTAAAAGATAAGCATGTTTCAGTGGGAATTGGAAGACTCCAGAAGAGAGAGTTAGTATTCAGAATATGGAGGAGAGAATTCATTCAATCAGGCCCTTGTGAAGGGGGGAGTTAATGAGATCCGGAACATCCTCAGAGGCATATGCCCTCTAGCATAACAGGAGGAAAGTGGGTGATGGTGACAGATGAAAGTGAGTTTGTGGATTTGGAGGCAGAACTTCTTCATCCTCCTACCTCCAATCCTGCACAGCAACCCAGGAGCCAAGAGTGAGTAGATCTACTTTAAGAATATGACATCAGAGGGCAGCGATTAATGAGGAAAAGGGAACACTCTCAGGGATGATGATAAGTGTTAATGAAAGAGATTGAAACACACATAACCATGTATCTTATACTTCCTTCTTACATAATGTTCAGAACAGGAAATGTAGAAAAAAGTTGAGAGACAATTGGGATCCTGTACAGGAGAAAGGATAATGAGAACTGTCCAGTTATTTCAAAAGTTCAAGCGTTAGGTCCTGCATGCTGAATTAGCTTAAAGACAATTGAAGAATCATTCCTGACGTTAGAAATCATGCAGATTGGAATAGGAATCAGGCAGATTGGGAATGGGAAATATTCAAATGTCCTATTTTTAAAAAGGAATGAAAAGGGAAGTCAAGAAAATGCAGGTGAATCTAATTAACTTTGATCTCTGCAATGTTTGTTAACTTGTACTCATTAAGCAGCACCAAGAGTTCATCAGGAAATATTTATGCTAAAATATTAAATATTATTTTTTTATGGAGACAGGATCTGCCTCTTGACTTTAAGGTGCACAATTGGGAGATTAAACAAAAGCTGTTTACAAAAATAATAGGGACCCCAAAGGTGCTGATCACAAGACCTCTACATAGCAGAATTGTGTATTTCAAAGGGACACTGGCATTTAGAAAATGGTCACCAATAGGTATCAGATGAGAATCAACAGGGATGAGTAAGGAGAGACCTCAGTGAGGCAGCAGAGCTATCTTCAAGTATGAGAAGGTCTTGCGTGTTCAGTCTTTTTTCTATGGTGGTCCAGAATAGAACTTGAAGCATGGGTGGAAAGTTCCAGAGAAGTAGTCTGTTGCCCCTCAATGAAGAATACCTAAAACCTGGGGCTGTCCAATGATGGGGAGCACAAAATGTTGAGCACCCCAGTCCTGGAAGATTCTAGCAAGCTGTTGGGGCTACAGTAGGGTGGGGTGTGGACTATGTGACTCTAGGGCCTGTTCCTTGAAAATAAACATGTAGAAGAAATGTGACATGGGCATTAATTTTTTAGCACACTCATGCTAGAAATATAGATGCTGATGCCTACAGATATCTGAATAGCTGCATAGCGAGGCAGTGGTAGATCTCAGGCTGAACCCAACTCTCGACTCCCCAAGTCTGATCATTTCTATTGCTTCACACATTAGCGTTTCCTGTGATGAGTGATTGCCATTCCTCTTTGGAATTTCAAATGAAGAATTCCAGAATGAAACTGGACCACTATTATACACCACATACAAAAGTCAATTAAAAATGGATTAAAGACTTGAAGGAAGACCCGAAACCACAAAACTCCTGAAAGAAAACATCAGGGGTGAACTCCTTGACATGGATCTTGGCAATGGCTTTTTGGATTTGACACCAAAAGCAAAATCAACAAAAGAAAAAATAATCAGGTAGCACTACAGCATACCAGAAAGCTTCTGCACAGGCAAAGGAAACCATCAACAAAATGAAAAGGAACCCTGCCAAATGGGAGACAATATTTGCAAATCATATATCCAATAAGGGGTTAATATCCAAAATATACAAAAAACTCATACAACTCAACAGACAAAAAAACAATAATCAAATTAAAGGTGAGCAGAGAAGATCTGAATAGACATTACTCCAAAGAAGACATAAAAATGGCTAACAGGTACTTGAACAGGTGTGGAACATCATTAGTCATCAGGGAAGTGCAAATCCAAACCACAACGAGAGATCACCTCACACCTGTTAGAATGGCTGTTACAGAAAAGACAAGAGCTAACATGTGTTTGTAAGGATGTGGAGAAAATGAAACCCTTGTGCACTGTTGGTGGGAATGTAAATTGGTGCAGCTACTGTGGAAAACAGTATGGAGTTTTCCCCCCAAAATTTACAACAGAACTATCATATCATCCAGCAACTGCTTTGGGGTATTTATCTGAACAAAAACACTAACTCAAAAAGATATTTGCACCCCATGTTCACTGCAGCATTATTTGTAACAGCCAAGACATGGAAACAACCTAAGTGTCCCAACAATAGATGGATGGATAAAGAAAAGGTGTTTTATATACAAAGGAATATTCGTCATGGAAAAGAAGGAAATCCTGCCATCTGTGACAACATGGATGGACCTTGAGGGCATTATGCTAAGTGAAATAAGTCAGAGAAAGACAAATATTGTATGATCTTACTTATATGTGGAATCTAGAAACAAAACTCATAGGTACAGCGATTGATGGTTGCCAGAAGTGAGGGTGGGGGTGGGGGTGGGGGGCAAAATGGATGAAGGCGATCCAAAGGTACAAAGTTCCAGTTATAAGACAAAGAAGCCCTGGGGATGTAATATACAGCATGTGACTACAGTTAACAACACTGTATTGCACGTGTATTTGAAAGTTGCTAACAGCATAAATTGTAAAAGTTTTCCTCACAAGGAAAAAGAGTTGTAACTATGTGTAGCGATGGATGTTAATTAAACCTATTGTGGTAATCACTTCATAATATATACATATATGGAATCATTATATTGCACACCTAAAACTAATACACTGTTAAATGTCAATTATATTTCAATAAAAAATAAATTAACAAATAAGAATTCTAAATCCCTCACTCATGACTTTCAGGCCACATGCTTTCATGAATGTCCACTGCTCATTCCACACATGGCTTGAGTGAAACCTGCAGCATTAGCCTTGAAATTCAGGGGCGCTGTGCAGTTGAGCCCTGACCCACACAAATAAGGGCTCTGTAATCTCTGGGGAGGTTGTTCCCAGGAAGAGAGTCTTGGGTACAGTTCCTGCAGGAAAAGAGGAACTGTGCTCCTAGAAGGAAATGATTCTAAAGCTGCCACGTCTTACCTGGACTCTGGGGTCTGCTTTACTTCTTGCTTCAATTGTACATGACCAGGTTCATCCACTGAGAAATAAGCATCATTGTTATGACATACCTTTACATTTGTCAGCTTAATACAGAGCAGGGCAAATGGTACCCTTCCCTCTTGAAAGATCTCAGTCTAGTCTCATCAAACTTTTCCAGCTAATTTGAACCCCTTAAGAGACCTCAACCTGCCCATAACAGCATATATTTTGCTACTCCCTGAGTAGCTAAGCAGTGAGAGGGATAACGGAGGTTGGCCAGCTGGCTGGGCCAGGAGGCTCTTTCTAAAGCTCAATGGGAGTGAGTTTAATGTACAGTGAGCTCAGCAGGTGTTCTTAAGTTCCCTCTTGGATTTATGACTCCCACATAATCCTCTGCTTTATTAAGCTATTGGGAAAAAAATAAAATCTGTCTGCCAAGATCCTAAAGCAGCCTTGGCAGCCAGTAATATATAAAGGCAGTAATTGGAGGTGGGGGGTGGGTGGGTGGCAGCTCGGCTGGCCTTGGACAGACTATCCAATATCCTCAGGGAGAAAAATGCCCCCTAGAATCAGGAAAGGGGGGGGGTGGCCTGGGGCTGTGCCCTGTGTCTGGGAGGGGAATGTACCTCACCTCCATTTTTGTCAGGTAGAGTCCTTTTCCATCATTGGAGAGGTTCTGGAAAGTCTCTAGAGAGGAGGAGAGGAATCAAGACAGGCCAAGGGAGAGAAAAGCAAATATGGTGATTCCGCATACTCTTTCACTCTCCACAGTATGCCTGTCCTCCCTCCTGGTCTCTTCCCAGCAAACCTCACTCTGTGGGACAGCCCAGGGCTCATCTCTTCAGAAAAGCTCTCTGTCACTGCTTTGGCCCACATGCACCTCTCCCTCTTCTAGTACCCTTGCACTTTGCACTCTTCTACACAGGCCAAGGGGATGTGTGGGTCCGTCTTATAAAGTACTCCACATGCAAAGTTTGGGGAATCTCCCTTGTCCAACTGAGAATTCTCTGGAGGCTTATGCCTCAGCCTTCTCTTCTGTACTCCCAGAGCTCTGTTCCCTCAGTCTTTATTAACCACCTAGCTCAGAGATGGGGGGTTTACAGAGGTGCTCATGCCAGGGATGGTGAGGATTAGGATGAGGCCAGGCCCCATTTCTACCCCAACCATAAGTCTCGAGCTATAGTATGGCTTGGGATTTCACATAGGATTTCATTATAAAAAAGGAGTATGTTGCTAAAGTGTCCAAATGTTTGACCCACATAGTCGAATTTCTAGAGCCTTGGGAATGCCTTCCTGCCCCCACTTATCCACTTGTGTGTGAATTCCTTCAGCAGAGACCCCATTCATCACAAGACTACAGAGTAGGTTTAAGCAGCAAACACCACAGAGAAGAGACACAGTGATTAAATGAACTTCCCGAAAGAGGCACTAAATAGGGTGATGAAGAAATGAGAGACCTAAGACAGAGGAATGTACTGGACAGAACGGGTAAGGATGCAGGGTACCCAAGCTGATTACACCGTTCCACAGGCTAATGTTGTTTCTGCCTCTGGGAGCAAGGGCTCCTCACACAAGATGCCAACCACCCCACTACGGAGGCCTTTCCTGGGCCTGGAGCAGGAGGGCATTCCTGGTCCTCTCCTGTGTTTTTTTGGTCATTGTGAAGGTCTCCAGATGTCCCCCAGGTGACACTTACTTGCCATGGCTTCAAGTCGCAACAGGAAGCAGACCAGGCTGGGGAAGCTGACCCTGCCACTGTGATCACTGTACCGGAGGGTCATGAGATCCAGAAGCTCGTTGCTGACGGAGGTCCCTGCAAGGAAGTCTGGGCCATGGGGTGGGGCTAGTGAGCGGGAGGAGGCTGGAGCAGGTCTGGTCTTCTGACGTGTGAAGTCTGAAAAACCTGCTCAGAATGGTGGCCTTCTACCACTGTTTCCTACTCAGCCTGGCTCAGGGGTCAGTTCACTCCACTTTGTACTTTTTTTTTTTTTTTTTT